CCCCACATCCTCACCAACACTTACTGTTGTTTGTATTCTTGATAGCTGCCATTCTGACTGGAGTGACATGAAATCTTAGAGTAGTTTTGATTTGCATTTCTCTAATTGCTAGAGATATTGAACACTTTTTTTCATATATTTGTTTGTTGATTTATATCCTCTTCTTGGAAGTGTCTGTTCAGTTCGTTAGCCCATTTATTGATTGGGTCATTTTTTTTTGTTGCTTAGCTTGTTGGGTTCTTTATATACCCTAGAGATTAGAGCTCTATCTGATGTGTGAGGAGTAAAAATTTGCTCCCAAACTGAAGGCTCTCTGTTCACCTCACAGATTGTTTCTTTTGCTGATAAGAATTTTTTTACTTTGAGTCTATCCCATTTATTGATTCTTGGTTTTAATTCTTGCACTATAGGAGTCTTATTAAGGAAATTGGGGCCTAATCCCACGTGATGAAGATTAGGGCCTACTTTTTCTTCTAATAGACACAGAGTCTCTGGTTTAATTCCTAGGTCCTTGATCCTCTTTTAGTTGAGTTTTGTGCATGGTGAGAGTTAGGGGTTTAATTTCATTTTGTTGCATATGGATTTCCAGTTTTCCCAGCACCATTTGTTGAAGAGGCTATCTTTTCTCCAACATATGTTCTTAGTGCCTTTGTCTAATATAAGATAATTGTAATTTTGTGAGTAAGTCTCTGTGTCCTGTCAGAGTCCAGCTCCAACAGGAGGTCTCAGGAGATGAATGGATGATGAGGAGTCGGCGAAAGGAGGGTGGAGAAACAATACAGACACCAAAGTGAAGGTGTTGATCCCAATCTTTACTTGTGAAGTTGATCATATATACTTTTCATTTTGGCAGGCTCACAGTACTTTGTGGTTACAAAACAGGAATCATTATTCAAAGAAACAAAATATTACGTAACTACAATTAGAATAGAAGAATGTATCTTGGCTTATGCATAAGCAAGCATTTGTACTTTCAGTTCGAGTTTTGCTTTGAGCTGTTTCTGCTTAGTTAACTTTTAATAATAGTTACAAATGTCCCAAACTATTGGCCTATACCTTGACTATTCTTCCTTGACTTACTGACTGGAACCGGTGCCATGGTTACAGCAAGTGGTTGACTTGTTATTAATTTTAATCAAACAAGAGTAAGAGCACAAACCATTGTGCACACGAACAAGAACAAGTTGCCCAGTACTAAGCACTAATCTGTCTTCTTAACATTAATTTTTCTTCTCTAGATTTTAATTTAATTTCTCAAAAACTTCCTTGACAGGAATACAGGGAGTTTTTCATTAGACATTAACAATTTACACTCCACAGCTGAATCATTGCATTTAGAGCAAACAGATCTATGCTTTAGAAGTAGTTGTATTAATTGGTAAAGTCATGTTTTTTCCTTCATACTTAATGGTCATATGAGAAATCACAACTGTACTTATTAAATGAATACAAAAACAAATCAGCCCATTCCCAGAAATATATTGCGCTCCTCCAGAGGATGGACGCCTTGCACCATCCACCTCAGTAGGGCCTTGCCATTGCCTGAGTCAGGGGAGGGGCGCAGCAGTGTCCTCTCTTCTGTACCATTGGTCTACCAGTCTGTTTTGGTGCCAATACCATGCTGGTTTTGTTACTATTGCTCTGTAGTATAGTTTAAGGTCTGGTATAGCAATGCCACCTGCTTCACTCTTCCTGCTGAGGATTGCTTTAGCTATTATGGGTCTCTTATTTTTCCAGATGAATTTTATGATTGTTTTTTCTATTTCTATGAGGAATGCCACTGAAAATTTGATTGGAATTGCATTAAATCTGTATAGTGTTCTTGGTAGTATGATCATTTTGATAATATTAATTCTGCCTATCCAAGAGCAAGGTAGAACTTTCCATCTTCTAAGGTCTTCTTTGATTTCTCTCTTTAGGGTTCTGTAGTTTTCATTGTATAGATCTTTCACCTGTTTCATTAAGTTGATTCCCAAGTATTTTCCCATTATAATTTTTTGAAAATATTTTTATTTATTTTTTTAGTTGTAGTTGGACACAATACCCTTATTTTATTTATTTATTTTTATGTGGTGCTGAGGATCGAACCCAGGGCCTTTCACGTGCTAGGCAAGTGCTCTACCACTAAGCCACAACCCCAGTCCAATGATTTTTATTGTTATGGTTTCTTTCTAATTTGATCTTGAGATTTCTCTCTTGAGAGTGAATATAAACCAACATAGTCACTTTCTAGAAGAACCCATACTGGGAGCCAAGTTAGGTGAAGGTGTGTTGGTCACGTGAGAAACACCATGCAGAAGTGAAATCAACATGCAGAATGAAATAAAATAGTAACAAATACCTAGAAATAAGTATTTCAAAAAGTTTACATAGAATTGTCTATGAGGCTAAGCTTGTGGCTCAGCAGTAGAGTGCTAGCATAGCACATGTGAGGCACTGGGTTTGATCCTCAGTACCACAAAAAAATAAATAAATAAAATAAGGGTGAAAAAAGAATTTTCTATGACAATTACTGAGAAACTTAAATATACCTAAATAAATGCGGAAATATACTATGTATGTGGACTCAAAACATGGTATCTGAAAGCGTAAATTATTCACAAACTAATCTATGATTCAGTGCAACTTGAATGAAAATCCCGACAAGTCTTTTCTTTTGTAGAACTCAACAAACTATTTTTAAAATTAATACAAAAGTGCAAAGGGTCAAGAATTGCCAAGACTTTCATGAAGACCAGCAAGATGGGAGGAATTGTTGTATTACATATTCAGACTCATTTTAAAGCTATAATAATTAAAACAATTTGATAATTGGCACAGAGATAAGCAAACAGGTAAATAAAAACAATAAAAAATAGACTTTAACAATATACATATAGACACTTGATTTATTTTCATTATAATATGCTGGAAAATATCCATACAAAAAAGACATTAAACTTGACACCTTGCTCACAACATATACCAAAAATGCCCACTCACATTGGGTCAGTAGTACAGAAATGAAAGATAAAAGCATAAATATCTTAGGAAGAAAAAATAAGAGAATCTCTTAATCTCTAGGTAGGGAAGAAAAAAGATTTGATATCAAGATACAAAAAACATTAATGAAGAAGGATTTTAAAAATAAATTTTATTACATTAAAATTCTGAACATAAAGAGAAGTTTAGCTACAGAATGGGAGAGAATGTTTGGATGTTTACAAGGTATAAGGCAAAGGACTCATGTTAAGACTATATAGGGTTCTTCTCAGAATCAATAAGAAGAAAGCAGATTATCTAGTACAACAAAAGTTGGCCAAAAAGAAAAAAAAAAAAAACTTGGAGAGAAGCTCCATAAAAGAAGATATCCACATTACTGCTACTCATGAAGATTCTCAACCTTATTGATCAGGGAAATGCAAAATAAAACCACAATGACACACTACTATGCAACCACCAGAATGTCCTCAAATATCAAAATACAGTCAATATCAAATATTTGTGAGAATATAGCAAAGGGAACTCTTAACATTGTTGATTAAAATGAGAATGTTGTAGCTGCTTTGGTTCATACCTGGAACCAAACACCTGTATTTGTAAACATCAAAAATTTAGAAATAACTCAAATGTCCACGATTAGGGTAAATTCACATAATGGAATACTATATAACAAAGGAAATGAATCTCACAACTAAGATTCTAAGTGAAAGAAGCAAGAAACAAAATGATATATGTATGTTTCTATTTACACACTTCAAAAAGCAGGTAAGGCTGAACCATATTCTTTAAAGATGTGAGGACATAACAGGCAAATTGTGAAGAAAATCAAATAAATGATTATCATCAACATCAAAATACTGGTTATATGGGCTGGGGATGTGGCTCAAGCGGTAGCGCGCTCGCCTGGCATGCGTGCGGCCCGGGTTCGATCCTCAGCACCACATACAAACAAAGATGTTGTGTCCGCCAAGAACTAAAAAATAAATATTAAAAATTCTCTCTCTCTCTCTCTCTCTCTCCCCTCTCTCACTCTCTCTTTAAAAAAAATACTGGTTATCTAGTGCAGAGGGGAGAGGCTATGATTGGAATGGGCAAAGAGTGAGTCTCCTGGCAATGTTTTTCATCTGGGTAATGGTTGCACTTTTGAATGAAAAGCATTTATATTGTATGCACTTTATTGTGTGTGTGTATGTGTGTGTGTGTATGTGTATATATGAATATGATTTAATTCACAATTTAATTTTTAATATATATTTTTAGACATTGATGGACCTTTATTTTGTTCATTTATTTATATGAGGTGCTGAGAATTGAACCTAGTGCCCCATACACACTAGGCAAATGCTTTACCTTTGAGCCACAACCCAAGCTGCACAATTTAATTAAAAAAAAAAAAAGTAAAGAAAAAAGGTCCAAGAACTGGATCTTGGGGCTCTCATATTTAGACTATGTTTATAAACTATACTCTTTCAATATTTAAAAATATTCTTGCGTACTAACTACTTTGTGTCAGGTACTCTTCCAGCTGCTGGGAATATAGTAGTGAATACAACAGGCAAAACTACCTCCTTTCATGGAACTTAGTAGTACAAGAGGATGGAATGGTTAACTAAACATAATGTTATTTAGCTGTCTAGTAAAAGGAGAAACTAAAAGTTCACTTGGATACCATCTAAATATAGACAATCTTCATCTAGATTGCTTTTGTAAACTCCTTACCTCTGTGTATTTGCCAATGTGATACACATAGATGTACCATATGTCCAAAACCATACACCGTAACCAACCCCTCCTCTAGGATTTTCCATCTCAGTGAATTGCATGCCATCCACTCATTTGTCCCAACCAGAAACCCCCAAATTATCTATAATTCTTCTTTCCCTTCTCTCTGACCCATTGCACTTGCAATCCATCATCAATTCTATTAAATGTATCTAAAATACAGGAAAAGAAGTATGTGAGGCATTTCTACCTACTTGGTCCATGAGGATACTACTTTTCCTCTACATTTTCTCCAGGGATCAGAGTGGCAGTGTTCCTCAGTTCAAGAAGGTAGTTTTCCAGGAATTTACTGATGGCTCCTTTACTCAACCCTTATACCGTGGAGAACTAAATGAACACTTGGGACTCTTGGGGCCATATATAAGAGCAGAAGTTGAAGACAATATTGTGGTGAGTTAAAGACAGTGGAATTACAAGAAAATTAATTCCACATATTTATTTTGTTTCCTTTTTTAATATTGATTTTATTTTTTTAAATACACGACAGTGGAATGCATTACAATTCTTATTACACATGTAGAGCACAATTTTTCATATCTTTGTATATAAAGTATGTTCACACCAATTCATGTCTTTATACATGTACTTTGTTTATTTGCATTACAATTCTTATTACACATATATACCACAATTTCTCATATCTCTGTTTGTATATAAAGTAGGTTGACACCCAATTTCTGATTATAAGAATAATGTACTCTAAGGCTGGATTTGTAGTTCTGTGGTAGAGTGCTCTCCTCACATGTGTGAGGCCCTGGGTTCAATTCTTAGCACCACATAAAAATACATAAATAAAAATAAAGATATGATGAAATCTAACAACTGAAAAAATTAAAGTACAGAAAAATAAAGAAGTTGAAAAATAACCCTTTAGTTAATTTTTATGTTTTTTTTCTATGTGTTTTTCTTTCTGTATTGAAAATTATATCATATGTAATTCTGCTTCTTTTGTTACCAAATGTCATATAATTAACATTTTTATGTCATCAAAAACACTTCCTAAGCAGGAATGATTACATAATTATCTATTATATGAATTTATGGAACCACTGTTTACTTAGCCATTTACTTTTGATCAGTGTTTCAGACTGTTTCTTTTTTCACTATGTAAGTGTCCAATCAAAATCCATGAATAATTTAAGACCTTTTCATATGAATTATCTATTAAATTCTCCTTTTTCATTGTTCTTATATATTTATTAATATTTTTAAGGAAAAATGACTACTGTAGGATTTGGGTGATATAAAAAATTCTTTTGGTAGAATCTGGAGCTTTCTTTTTTTAAATATTTATATTTTAGTTTTAGGTGGACACAATATCTTTATTTTATTTTTTTATGTGGTGCTGAGAATCAAACCCAGTGCCTCATTCATGTTAGGCAAGCGTCTACCACTTGAGCCACATCCCCAGCCCCAGAATCTGGAACTTTCTAGTGAAGTTTTAATCAACATATTGCAGAAAGAAGACATACTTGGCCACGTGATCTTACATATTTCAGGTTGCCATTGTACATTATGGATTTTCAGGACACAGAGTAAATCTTGCTGTGCTGGGATAAATAAAGGAACTCTACTATATTCATCTTTCTTCAGGGCACTTCTGAGAGCCAGTTTTGTAGTAAACCAAATTTCTTAGATGTTACTTTAGTAGAGCTAGTAATTATATTAACAATATTAACAATATTTTAAGATAACCATACCATGTGAGGAAATACAAAAGTACCAGTGATTACTTTTGTAACAGTCACAGGTATTTACTATTGTATGATAATACTCCGTAGCTTTATGATGCAGAACCTAGATTCATAGTTGAAAGTCATTCTCACTTTGAACTTAATTAATGATTTGCCCTCCCCATCTGAAAGCACAAACACCAAGTTAAGAACTGGTTGTCCCTTTTGAAAAAATTACAAATATTATTAATGTTCTCTAGGTGTGCTAATTAAGTGAACACAAGCTTTCATCTTCTAGAATTAGTAAGACTTCACTGAGTTTTCAGAAAGCACAGAGGCAGTGGGAAGATTCAGGTCTGTGGATGTAAAGACTGATATAACCTGAGAAATTTTTCCTTTTTGACATTTTCATTGGCTTTATGTTTATAAAAGTCCCTTCCAACCCAGATACTTAAAATAATCACTTATACTTTCTTTTATACCTTAATTATTTGCATTTTTCTTTTTAATCCATCAATAATTCCCATAAACTAGATGTTCTTTTGGTACATCATGTGAGACCAAAGTCATTTTATTTTCTGTTCAAAATAGCCAGCCTTGTTCCTAGTTGATTTTTTATAATAAGGGTGCACAAGGATCTAAAATTATGGGATTATGGGTACATTTTTTTCTGACTTGAATTTTATTTTACTTTCCACATGCTATATAATATGTTTACTTTTTCAAATTGAAAAAAAGTCTTTAAAACAAATCTTTTTCAAAGATAATATGCATTAATCCTGGAATGTATCATGAAGATACATCATTTTACTTGGAAATTACCTTTAAGTTGCATAGTAGTGTGTCATTGTGGTTTTATTTTGCATTTCCCTGATAAATAAGGTTGAGAATATTTTCCTAAGTAGCAGTAATGTGGATATCTTCTTTTGTGGAACTTCTCTCCAAGTTTTTTTTTTTTTTTTGCCAATTTTTGTACTGGATAATCTGATTTTTTTTTTATGAATTCCAAGAAGTATCCTATATAATCTTGACATGAGTCTTTTGCTTTATACATTGTAAACAACCAAACATTCTCTCCCATTGTATTCAAGAATTTTCTCTTAGGGCTGGGGTTGTGGCTCAGTGGTAGATCACTCGCCTAGCATGTGCGAGGCCCTGGGTTTGATCCTCAGCACCACATAAAAATAAATAAATAAAATAAAGGTATTGTGTCCAACTGCAACTAAAAAGTAAGTATTAAAAAATTGCTTTAAAAATAATTTTCTCTTTGTTTTGTTATTGTTGTTATCTTGATTTTTTTTGTGTGTGTATGTGCGTGTTTTCTCTGCAGGTAACTTTCAAAAACCAGGCCTCTCGTCCCTACTCCTTCTATTCTAGCCTAATTTCTTATAAGGAAGATCAAGGACAAGGAACAGAACCTAGAAAAAACTTTGTCAAGCCGAATGAAACGAAAACTTACTTTTGGAAAGTACAATATCATATGGCACCCACTAAAGATGAGTTTGACTGCAAAGCTTGGGCTTATTTCTCTGATGTTGATCTGGTAAGTAGATCATTGTGCTGGGTATTTTCTGGTTTAAAAGAAATGATCTTTTTGTTTATGTGCTAAAAATTTTGGTATTTATCCTAAGCACAATGAAAATCTTTAAATTTTTGTGTTTTAGAAACTTCACATAGAATCTACTGAAATAGATGAACTGTTTATGGGGGAAAGGTTAAAATGGCAGGAAAGTTGATGAGAAGTCTAGTCTGGTTTGTAGGTGAGAGAGCTTAACACTAATAGTGTTGATGTCTTCCCTCCCTAGGAAAGAGATGTGCACTCAGGCTTGATTGGACCCCTTCTGATTTGTCACACTAACACTCTGAACCCTGCTCATGGAAGACAAGTGACAGTGCAGGAATTTGCTCTGTTTTTCACTATCTTTGATGAGACCAAGAGCTGGTATTTCCGAGAAAATATGGAAAGGAACTGCAGGGCACCCTGCAATATCCAAACGGAAGACCCAACTTTTAAAGAGAATTATCGTTTCCATGGTAACATATTCTACACCCAAATATAGCATGCACTTATTCCAATGAGCCTTGAACCAGAGACTTGATCATTGCATGACTTGAAAGTATACATGCAGGACTGGAATCCGCACAGCTGTCAGTATTTTTGGTAGACTGGAGGGAAAGAAACTTCTACAATAAATTTTAACACTTTCTCTGTTCTTCTCCAGCAATCAATGGCTATGTGATGGATACACTACCTGGTTTAGTAATGGCTCAAGATCAAAGGATTCGATGGTATCTGCTCAGCATGGGCAGCAATGAAAACATCCATTCTATTCATTTCAGTGGACATGTGTTCACTGTACGGAAAAAAGAGGAGTATAAAATGGCAGTGTACAACCTCTATCCAGGTATGACCTTCTTTGTGTTCTTTTACTTACAGTACTTGAGTACTTACTTTGCATGAATATAATCACTGCACAAAGCAGACAAGCTCCGTGATTTCAAGTAGCAAGTCAAGTAACTTTAATGTACAGAAAGATAAATCAATTAGCAAATGAATAAGATTATTTCAGGTATATAAAAATTGTTATAAAGGGCATAGAACAGAATAAATGGATGATTAATGTCACAGCATCTTCCCAGGAATATTTTCATTTTCCTTCTCAAATCCAGTATTATACCACTAGTTATTCAAGGAGTGATTTATTTATGTATGTAACCAGTGTATATGACAATGTTGACTGAAACACTATTTTGGTTTTCCACTAAAACAGGTTTAATAATGGGGATAAATTTCCCCTCTTTCCTCATAAATATTCCAGTAAGTCCTGTGACTTTTCTCCTCAGTTGGGGATTGAACTCAGGGGCACTCACCCACTGAGCCACATCCCCAGCCCTATTTTGTATTTTATTTAGACACAGGGTCTCAATGAGTTGCTTAGTGCCTCACCATTGCTGAGGCTGGCTTGGAACTTGCGATCCTCCAATCTCAGCCTCCCCAGCCACTGAGATTATAGGTGTGTGCCACAGTGCCCAGCTTGGTAACTCTTAAATAACAAACAAACCTGTACTTCGTATGTCACATACAGTTCAAGTCAGAAATTATAATGTCCATTTCAGGGTATTGACAAAAATTCTGTAGTTGATTTAACTTCAATCTTCCCACCCCCGGCTTGAGCCTACATCAAGTTAGAAGTCTGCATTGAAAAAAGAAACATGGTTAAGTCCTCTGTTTCTCTGCTTTGTGCTTATTGTGCCCTCCCAACCCCTCAATAGGCTCCCTTAGATCCCATATCAGATCAATAGGAAACAGGCTTTTTGCTCTGAAAACCCATGGGAGTGTAGGCCAGTCCTAATATTATAGGAGTAGCCTTCTCCTGTATCCATGATCAAAGCATCTAGTGACCCTGTCTGATTTTCTGGGAGGGAAGTGGTCAAAATTCAATCTCCAAGTGCTCCAACTAGAGGAATCACATAGAAAGCGGTGGGGGAACTGAATTTGGTAGATATTCTTTGATATTCTATATAAGTCAATATATTTGTGCTCATTTTTTTTGTTCCTTTTGGTTTTGAAAAGGTGTTTTTGGGACAGTAGAAATGCTACCATCCAAACCTGGAATTTGGCGAATACAATGCCTTATTGGAGAGCACCTATATGCAGGGATGAGCACTCTTTTTCTGGTGTACAGCAAGCGTGAGTAGCACTGTGGGCAGAGGTTACCTACCTACCTAACCTACCTAGTCTATTTTTTTTTTTTTTTTGGTACTGGGGATTGAACTCAGGAGCACTTAACCACTGAGCCACATCCCCAGCCCTTCTTTCTATTTTATTTAGAGACAGGGTCTTGCTGAGTGTTTTTAGGGCCTCACTAAGTTACTGAGGCTGGCTTTGAACTCAAGATCCTCTTGCCTCAGCCTCCTGAGCTGCTGGGATTACAGGTGTGCACTACTGCCACCAATCTTAGCCTACTTTTGTATAGCTTTCCTCCTCCTTGGAATTATTGCCTCTGTTGAGAAATATAATACAAGCTCATACCATTATTACATTTAAATTGAATATTATTGTTTGATTTCAGAGTGTCAGATTCCCTTGGGAATGGCTTCTGGACACATTAGAGATTTTCAGATCACAGCTTCAGGACAATATGGTAAATACTATTATTTTTCACTCCAAGAACCTGGGAATGAATGTATCTTTTTAAAATTTCTGTTGGATAGTTGCAGATAACTAATCCACCTCCATGCTTTTATTACTTATACTCCATCAATGGAACTCAAATCCATCTTGTCCTCTCCATTTTGCACTGTGACCATCTTAATTCAGGCCACTTTCATTTCTCACCTAGACAGTGACACTGCCTCCTTAAATATTCTCTCCACTTTCAGTATTGTTCCCTTAAGCCCATTGTCTTCACTTTTGTGTAAGAAGTAATGGTTGAATAGAATTTATAGAGTTCTTAAATATTGGGGGATTTATTGTTGTTACTTGGGATTGAACCCAGGGACACTGAATCACTGAGCCAAATTCCCAGCCCTTTTTAATTTTTATTTTGAGACAATGTCTTATTAAGTTGCTGAGGGCCTCGCTAAATTGCTGATGCTGGCCTCAAACTCATGATCCTCAAGTCTCAGCTTTCTGAGTTGCTGGAAGTATAGGTGTGTGTCATCATGCCAGGCTATTTTCTTTTCTATTTTACCATACTTTATTGGTACATTACAGATAAATATAATGGTGGGATTTGTTATTACATATTCATACATGCATATAGTATAACAATATAATTTGTCCAATATCATTTGGTATCAAATTCCAGTATCAACTAAATTCAGGTGCTAGCAATCGACAAAGTTATTAAAGTATTAAAGTTTAGAAGTTTACAACAATAATAAGCAAAAGTCTTAGTTATCATACTGCTAGGCTTCAAAGTTTTTATATCTTTCTCTATCTTGTTTCCACGTGTCTAAGGACCAACCTAGTTGAATATAATCTCTCTCCTCTCCCCTTTCCTGGGCAAAGGACAGTGGGCCCCAAAGCTGGCCAGACTTCATTATTCTGGATCAATCAATGCCTGGAGTACCAAGGAGCCCTTTTCATGGATCAAGGTTAGAGAAGTTAATGAATGAGGGGAATTATATCATATTTGATTACATTAATTATCCTCTTGCAAGCTCAAAGCATTATACATGTCCTTTATATTGCAGTAATTTCGAATCACAGCTAAGACTGTGTATTCTATTGTTAGATGCCTTTAAACGAGTAAATGTCCTTCAGTCCTCCAAAATTATTCATTTTAACACAAAACAAGTGGTTCAATCCCCTAACTTTTCAAGCAAGGACACCGTAGCTACCTTTCTAAAACCGAGTTGATCTTTTTCATCAATCATACACCACTTGATAGTATGAAATACATACTTAAATTTAGTGTAATCTGGTGAACTAAGATAGAATTAATACTTCAAATAATGTGTTTAGTTTAACTCAATTGCTTTTTTAAAAATATTTTTTCAGATACTGATGAACCTTTATTTAATTCATTCATTTATATGTGGTGCTGAGAACTAAAACCCAGTGCCTCATACATGCTAGGCAAACACTCTACCACTGAGCCACAACCCCAGCCTCTCAATTGCTTTTAAAAGACTTAGGTTTTCAGATTTTCTCACTTTCCTATTTCCTCTAGAGCAGCACTGTTCAATGGAAATAGAACATGAGCTGCAAATGCAAATGACATGTTTAATTTTTCATTTTCTAAAACGAGGGAAGTTGGGGTAGGCATCTATTTTAGTGAGAGGGCCTAAAAGGCAAAAAGCCTTGCCCACAGGCAGAGTAGATGTTCATATAGAGGAAACGATTCAATTATTTGGAATTTGGTTTATTAGGAAGCAGGGGCTCAATAAGCACCTTTTCTACTCATTCCCACCATTTATCCCACAGCCACACAAATATGTTCAGCTTTCAAAATTTGTGTCTGTTTCACCTGTATATCCAAGATAACAATACACACATCTGTAGCAATGTAGATTCTTACTAAACCCATAATTAATTTCAGAAGATATTACACACTTTTTAAAACAGGTTTAAATAAAATGTTTTTTTAATTGATAGGTAGATCTGTTGGCACCAATGATTATTCATGGCATCAAGACCCAGGGTGCCCGTCAGAAGTTCTCCAGCCTCTATATCTCTCAATTTATTATCATGTATAGTCTTGATGGGAAGAAATGGATGACTTATCGAGGGAATTCTACTGGCACCTTAATGGTATGTACTTAGTCCTTTCAAGAGAATTAATGAATGCTTTAAAGATCTTCCGATGGATTTCAGATATGGGACAAACAGTCTTAGATTCTGTAAGTTTAACTTTAAAAAAGAATTTTCTACCTTTGGTCAATACTTGTTGTTGTTATTATTATGGTGCAGGGGATTGAACCCAGGGCCTTGAATGTGTAAGGCAAAAACTCTACCAACTGAGCCATATCCCCATCTCTACCTTTGGTCAATAGTTATTATGAGGAATTATGAACAGAGATCTTTGTAGTTCTCCATATCCTATGGTTGTAGGCAGATATGACTTAGTGAGTTACAAGAAATACAGAGTTGTAGTGACAAATGCTCAACTCTCCTCATCCCCAGTTCCATTATGCTATGGTAAGGGCACTGGTGGGAAAGAATGGAACTCTAAGACCTGGGATGGGGACACTTAGGCAGACATGGATGAAGCTAAGAATTTCAAAATTCCAAATCCCCCTGAACCACCTTTGCCTGAGGAATCAACCTCTCCCCAGTCTCTAAAGCAATAATTCTTCCTTTGCATAAAAGCTTTTCAGTGACCAAACTGAGATAGTTGTTTTACAAGAGAGTAACTGTTTTCCTTATTGCCCCTGTTTGGCCATTACAAAAGCCAAATGAGAGATAGAACATGGCAGCAGACCACACATTCAAACAGGTGGTGATACCAAAAAACAATTGCAATTCCAGATATTATACCTGTTTTAAATTAAATTAACACAGACTCAGACACCTGATATGGAACTATTTATCTAGAAAGAAGCTTTTTCTTCATTCCCAAAATGAAGCAAAATCAGAACATATTTGCATTTATGAGGTAGGAATGATAATATTGTTTATTACTCGTATCTCAGAGCAATGCCAGCCCCCTTGTTCTTCGTCAGAACATAGACTTGAAGAACTCCAAATATCTTAACATCCCACAAATACCATGTCTGCCCATTATGTTGATGACATTATGCTGACAGAACCTGATAAACAGGAACTAGCAATCACCCTGCTTCTATGAGATAGACAGACAGACAGACAGACAGACAGACAGACACACACACACACACACACACACACACACACACACCCCAAATGAGCCTGCCTTGTCCCTGACTTTAATGTGAATTGATCCCATATTTCACTGTTAGCTTCAAATACTTAACATATTTAGAAAGTTTCCATCCATTTCTATTTTTAAAAAATATTTATTTTTTTAGAAGTAGTTGAACACAATACCTTTATTTTGTTTATTTATTTTTATGTGGTGCTGAGGATTCAACCCAGGGCCTCGCACATACTAGACAAGAGCTCTACCACTAAGCCACAATCCTAGCCCCCCTACTTTATTTTGAATGGCAGCATCTCTACCATCTTTAATATAATCACATTCTTTTTTTTATTTGTGTGCATGTGCGTTTGTGTGTGTGTGTGTGTGTGTGTGTGTGTGTGTGTGTGTG